TAAAATTTTTTAATTTTTCGGCTTTTCACTGTATCGATTTTTAATTCTTCGATTTTTCGTTTTTTTTTTTGTTCGATTTTTCAGTTCAGTTTAAAATTTTTCAATGTTTTGCCTCTTCACTTCTCAATATTTAATTTTCAGTTTTTCGATTTTTTAATTTTACAACTTTTCAGTTAGATTTTAATTTCATTTTTCCGATTTTTCAAATTTTAAATTTTCCAATCTTTCGATTTCACTTTTCAATTTTTTGATTTCTCAATTTTTGATTTTTCGGTGTTGTATTTTTTTGTGCAATGTTTTCACTTTGGAATCTTCAATTTTTGGCTTTTTCAATTGGTTTTTCGACTATCGACCTTAAATTTTTTATGTTCTCGATGTTTAAATTTTTCAATTTCTAATTTTCAGTTTTGAAATTTTTTAATTTTACAATTTTTCGATTTTTCAATTAGATTTATTTTAATTTTTCATTTTCCCGATTTTTTCTACAATGTTTCTAAATTCTATCTTTGGAATTTTTCAATTTTTCGCTTTTTCATTAGTTTGATTTTTTGTCTTTTCTTGAGGTTCTCGACCTTAAAATTTTTATTTTCTCGATGTTTAATTTTTAAATTTGCAATTTTTACAGAATTTAACAATTTTTCGATTCTTAGATTTCAGTTTTGTAGTTTTTCTATTTTTCAAATTTTTCGTTTTCCCAACTTTTCGATTTAGATTTTTTTCCCATTCAATTTTAAATTTTTCAATCTTTCGATTTGTCAATTCCTGGATATTTTTATCTTTCATTTTTTCTGTTTTGAAGTTCTAGATTTGCTCAATTTTCCAATTTTACATTTTTTCAATTTCGACTTTTCAACTTTAAAATTTTTGAAATTTTCAGTTTTTCAGCTTTTCACTGTATCGATTTTTAATTCTTCGATTTTTCGTTTTTTTTTGTTCGATTTTTCAGTTCAGTTTAAAATTTTTCAATTTTTTGTCTCTTCACTTTTCAATATTTAATTTTCAATTTTTCGATTTTTTAATTTTACAACTTTTCAGTTAGATTTTAATTTCATCTTTCCGATTTTTCAAATTTTAAATTTTCCAATCTTTCGATTTCACTTTTCAATTTTTTGATTTCTCAATTTTTAATTTTTCGATGTTGTATTTTTTGTGCAATGTTTTCACTTTCGAATTTTCAATTTTTGTTTTTTTCAATTGGTCTTTCGACTTTCGACCTTAAATTTTTTATGTTCTCGATGTTTAATTTTTCCATTTCTAATTTTCAATTTTGAAATTTTTTAATTTTACAATTTTTCGATTTTTCAATTAGATTTATTTTAATTTTTCATTTTCCCGATTTTTTCTACAATGTTTCTATTCTATCTTTGGAATTTTTCAATTTTTCGCTTTTTCATTAGTTTGATTTTTTGGCTTTTCTTGAGGTTCTCGACCTGAAAATTTTTATTTTTTCGATGTTTAATTTTTAAATTTGCAATTTTTCCAGAATTTACAATTTTTCGATTCTTAGATTTCAGTTTTGTAGTTTTTCTATTTTTCAAATTTTTCGTTTCCCCAACTTTTCCATTTCAATTTTTTGTCCCTTTTAATTTTAAATTTTTCAATCATTCGATTTGTCAATTCGTGGATTTTTTTATTGTTCATTTTTTCTATTTCGTCTCTTCATTTTTATGATTTTTCTCTATATTTCGACTTTTCAACTTTAAAATTTTTTAATTTTTCGGCTTTTCACTGTATCGATTTTTAATTCTTCGATTTTTCGTTTTTTTTTTTGTTCGATTTTTCAGTTCAGTTTAAAATTTTTCAATGTTTTGCCTCTTCACTTCTCAATATTTAATTTTCAGTTTTTCGATTTTTTAATTTTACAACTTTTCAGTTAGATTTTAATTTCATTTTTCCGATTTTTCAAATTTTAAATTTTCCAATCTTTCGATTTCACTTTTCAATTTTTTGATTTCTCAATTTTTGATTTTTCGATGTTGTATTTTTTTGTGCAATGTTTTCACTTTCGAATTTTCAATTTTTGTCTTTTTTAATTGGTCGTTCGACTTTCGACCTTAAATTTTTTATGTTCTCGATGTTTAATTTTTCCATTTCTAATTTTCAATTTTGAAATTTTTTAATTTTACAATTTTTCGATTTTTCAATTAGATTTATTTTAATTTTTCGATTTTTCAATTAGATTTATTTTAATTTTTCATTTTCCCGATTTTTTCTACAATGTTTCTATTCTATCTTTAGAATTTTTCAATTTTTCGCTTTTTCATTAGTTTGATTTTTTGGCTTTTCTTGAGGTTCTCGACCTTAAAATTTTTATTTTCTCGATGTTTAATTTTTAAATTTGCAATTTTTACAGAATTTAACAATTTTTCGATTCTTAGATTTCAGTTTTGTAGTTTTTCTATTTTTCAAATTTTTCGTTTTCCCAACTTTTCGATTTAGATTTTTTTCCCTTTCTATTTTAAATTTTTCAATCTTTCGATTTGTCAATTCCTGGATATTTTTATCTTTCATTTTTCCTGTTTTGAAGTTCTAGATTTGCTCAATTTTCCAATTTTACATTTTTTCAATTTCGACTTTTCAACTTTAAAATTTTTGAAATTTTCAGTTTTTCGGCTTTTCACTGTATCGATTTTTAATTCTTCGATTTTTCGTTTTTTTTTTGTTCGATTTTTCAGTTCAGTTTAAAATTTTTCAATTTTTTTGTCGCTTCACTTTTCAATATTTAATTTTCAGTTTTTCGATTTTTTAATTTTACAATTTTTCAATTAGATTTTAATTTCATCTTTCCGATTTTTCAAGTTTTAAATTTTCCAATCTTTCGATTTCACTTTTCAATTTTTGATTTCTCAATTTTTGATTTTTCGATGTTGTATTTTTTGTGCAATGTTTTCACTTTGGAATCTTCAATTTTTGGCTTTTTCAATTGGTTTTTCGACTTTCGACCTTAAATTTTTTATGTTCTCGATGTTTAAATTTTTCAATTTCTAATTTTCAGTTTTGAAATTTTTTAATTTTACAATTTTTCGATTTTTCAATTAGATTTATTTTAATTTTTCATTTTCCCGATTTTTTCTACAATGTTTCTATTCTATCTTTGGAATTTTTCAATTTTTCGCTTTTTCATTAGTTTGATTTTTTGGCTTTTCTTGAGGTTCTCGACCTTAAAATTTTTATTTTCTCGATGTTTAATTTTTAAATTTGCAATTTTTACAGAATTTAACAATTTTTCGATTCTTAGATTTCACTGTTTTGTAGTTTTTCTATTTTTCAAATTTTTCGTTTTCCCAACTTTTCGATTTAGATTTTTTTCCCTTTCAATTTTAAATTTTTCAATCTTTCGATTTTGCAATTCGTGGATTTTTTTATTTTTCATTTTTTCTATTGTTCAAGTTCTAGATTTGTTCAATTGTATGATTTTTCAATATTTCGACTTTTCAATTTTAAAATTTTTGAAATTTTCAGTTTTTCGGCTTTTCACTGTATCGATTTTTAATTCTTCGATTTTTCGTTTCTTTTTTGTTCGATTTTTCAGTTCAGTTTAAAATTTTTCAATTTTTTGTTTCTTCACTTTTCAATATTTAATTTTCAGTTTTTCGATTTTTTTATTTTACAATTTTTTGATTTCTCAATTTTTTATTTTTCGATGTTTTATTTTTTTTGTGCAATGTTTTCACTTTGGAATTTTCAATTTTTGGCTTTTTCAATTGGTTGATTTTTTTAGTTTTTCGATTTTGATTTTTTAATTCTTCAGTCTTTCGATCTTCAGTTCAAAATTTTTCGTGTTTTCGATTTTTGAATTTTACAATTTTTCGATTTTTTATTTTCACAGTTTTGTAGTTTTTCTATTTTTCGTTTTATCAGGTCGTAGATTTTTTGATGTATAAATATTTAGAATATAAATTTTTCAAAATATTTTTCCATTTATCGTTCATCGATTTTACAGTTTTTCGTTTTGCAATTTTCCAATGTTTCAATTTTCAGTTTTTTATTTTAATGTCCTAGACGTCTAGTTTTTCAGTTGACTTCATTTTTTGAATTTTTCATTTTTTGTGTTGTAAGTTTAAAAATTTACAATTTTTAAATTTTTAGATATTTTTGTTATCGTGTTTTTCAATTTTTTGTTCTTTTAGTTTCACAATTTTGTAGCTTTTCAATTTTACAATATTTACATTTTACTATCTTTGAATTTTTCAATTTTTTCTAGTTTTCAATTTAGAATTTTACAGTTTTTCGATTTTTTAACTTTTAAATTTTGTATTTCTCTTTTTTGAAATTTGTCGTCTTTTTAATATCCTGACGTTTCAATTTTTAGACATTTTAATTTTCGGTTTTTTCAATTTTAGTTTTTCGAAAATTCACAAAATGAAAAATCGAGAAACTGAAGAAACTAAAATCTCAAAAAATTAAAAAATAAACTTCGAAAAATGAAAAATCTAACTTGGAACAGAAGCTATGTTTATGCTCCTCGTTTCCGCCCCCACATTTTGGGAACCCCTGTCTACCGGGGGATGCTGCATCCTGCACTATCGATCCGCTTGCACCCTGGATGCAGTACATCCTCTCCATAAAAAACCCAACCTCGCCTCAGTCGCAGTTACGACCTGGGGCAAGGCTCACCTAACGGTAAAAAATTTCGGCCGCCTCCACACCCAACGACCTTGAAACCGGCATTACGTAACGTCAGGTGGTGCCAGTGTCGCTTTGATCGCGCACCAAGATTAAGACCTTTCCGGCTTCCGAGGTTGTTGCACTCCGCAACCGACCGACTCCCATTTGAACTTGCCGCTACTTTCGCCAACGAAACCGTGTCGCGTTATCAGCGCTGATAAGATGGCGATTACGCCGATAATCGCCGCAAACACAACATTCCGCGCCTCGTTCCCCGAAATAATGAAGTGATTCGAGCCGAAGCGATGCTGAATCTGTTCCGGAGCAAGGTGTGTGCGGATTTTGGGCTCCGGGGGCGTCCGAGTGCGTTCTAATGGTGCGTTTTCTTGCAGAAGGAGTCCGGGAAGTCGCCGGCGAAGTCCTCGAGGAGGGGTCAAGCGCCGTCGAACAGGTAGGCGCTTTTTTGTTTGTGTGTGCAGTTTTTGCGTGCCGGAGTTTTCCGGGTTGCGAGCGCTACGCCTACGGAATGATTGGTAGGCGCGTGACTCACGGTACCGGAAGTCGGAGGTTCCCGCGGCGGGACGGGGGCGGAAGTTTACGGCCGGAGGCATGGTGGCGGAACTCTGGGTTAGGACCGTTACGCGTTCTGCGTGTGATAATGACGATTGGGCAACGGTACGCGGAACGGTCCCGGGCGGAATTGGGTTGGGAGGGGCAGGCAACACGTTAAGCAGGAGTGCGTGATGGGTGGCGGCACTGGAGCGAGAAATTGTAACGGAATTTGTTGGAGTCGTTGAAAAATGTGTTTTGTTGAGATCGGCTGCCACCTGTGAGCTAAAAACGGTGGCGTTGCCAGAGTCAGGTTATCGAAATACAAACAAATGTTTCCGTGGCCAACTGTGAGGACTCCCTTTTTTTCGCTTTTTGCTTTTTTACTCCTTTGACTTCTTGATTTTTTAAATTAATGTTTGATTTTTTTAAGTGTCTATTTTTCAGTTTTTCGTCTGTACAGTTTTATGATTTTTCAATATTTCGACTTTTCAACTTTTAAACTCTTTTTATTCTGTCAATTTTTCGGATTTTCAGTTTATGCATTTTAAATTCTTGGATTTGTTTTTTTTTCTTGTTCGATTTTCAGTTATTGTCATTTTTTCACCGATTTTTTTCTGTTTTTTTACCTTTTTTCAGTTCTGCTATTTTTTCAGCCTGTGAATTTTTCAATTTTTCGATTTTTCGACTTGTCAGTTTATGGATTTTTAATTTTATCGATTTCTTTTCTTCAGTTTTTCGTTTCTTCAATTTTTGGATTTGATTTTTCCGTTTTTTCAGTTTTTAGGTGAAGTTTTTCGTTTCTTCAACTTCTCAATTTTTTTGTTTCGCGTTTTTTCAATTTTCCCCTTCTTCAATTTTGTGATTGGATTTTTTTTCTTTTTTTCAATTTTTACGGAACATTTTAGTTTGATTTTTTATTGTTCTATTTTTCTATTGTTCGATTTTTCAGTTTTTCGTCTAGTTTTATGATTTTTCAATATTTCGGCTTTTCAACTTTTAAACTCTTTTTATTCTGTCAATTTTTCGGATTTTCAGTTTATGGATTTTTAATTCTTCGATTTTTGTTTTTTTCTTGTTCGATTTTCATTTCAATTTAAAATTGTTTGTCTTCCGATTTTTTCGATGTTTCGCTTTTTTTTTTTTTCTACGTTTTGTCCGTTTTCACTTTGGAATTTTTCAATTTTTTACTTTTTCAATTGTTTGATTTTTTTTAGTTTTTCGATCTTAAATTTTAGATTTTTAATTCTTCAGTTTCTCGACCTTCAATTTTCTCGATATTTAATTTGCAATTTTGCTGCAGCTCAATTCAAAATTTTTCATGTTTCGACTTTTGAATTTTACGATTTTTCGATTCTTCAATTTCACAGTTTTGTAGTTTTTGTATTTTTCAATTTTTCGTTTTCCCAAGTTTTCGATTTAGAATTTTGGTTTGATTTTTCAACTTGTGAATTTTTCCAATTTCTCGTCTTCAATTTTTCAAAATTGAAATATCGAAAAATTGCAAAATTGTAAAATTATAAATAAGATTTGAACCATTTGAAAATCGAAAAAATTAAAAACCGTACTAATAAATTGTAAAATCAAAATAATTCAGAATTATGAAACAGAAAAGTTGAAAAACTGAAAAAATGAAAAATCGAACGAAAATTCAAAACTCAAATGCTGAAAAATCGAAAAATTGCGCAATTGTAAAATTGAAAAGTCGCAAAATATCGGACAACTGCAAAACCGAAAAATTGAAAGGTTCTAGATCGAGAAATTGAAAAATTAGAAAACCAAAATCGGATAATTGTAAATTTAAAAAATTCTGGAACTGAATATTTAAAAAGTCGAAAATTGAATCGATAAATCAGATCGATAATTAAACTATAAAAAATTGAGAAATTGTAAAACTGAAAATTCGAAGAATGCAAAATTGAATATTTGAGAATTTGAAATTTAAAAAAATCGAGAATGTAAAGTCAAATTAAAAAATCGGAAAATTGAAAAACGAACAATTAAAATGTGTAGATTGACTAATTGAAACATTTTTCGTTTTCCAATTTTCCGGTGTTTCAATTTTCAGTTATTGTCATTTTTTCACCGATTTTTTTCTGTTTTTTTACCTTTTTTCAGTTCTGCTATTTTTTCAGCTTGTGAATTTTTCAATTTTTCAATTTTTCGACTTGTCAGTTTATGGATTTTTAATTTTATCGATTTCTTTTCTTCAGTTTTTCGTTTCTTCAATTTTTGGATTTGATTTTTTCGTTTTTTCAGTTTTTAGGTGAAGTTGTTCGTTTCCTCAACTTCTCAATTTTTTTGTTTCGCGTTTTTTCAATTTTCCCCTTCTTCAATTTTGTGATTGGATTTTTTTTCTTTTTTTCAATTTTAACGGAACATTTTAGTTTGATTTTTTATTGTTCTATTTTTCTATTGTTCAATTTTTTAGTTTTTCGTCTAGTTTTATGATTTTTCAATATTTCGGCTTTTCAACTTTTAAACTCTTTTTATTCTTCAATTTTTCGGATTTTCGGTTTATGGATTTTTAATTCTTCGATTTTTGTTTTTTTCTTGTTCGATTTTCATTTCAATTTAAAATTTTTTGTCCTCCGATTTTTTCGATGTTTCGCTTTTTTTTTTCTACGTTTTGTCCGTTTTCACTTTGGAATTTTTCAATTTTTTACTTTTTCAATTGTTTGATTTTTTTTTAGTTTTTCGGTCTTAAATTTTAGATTTTTAATTCTTCAGTTTCTCGACCTTCAATTTTCTAGATATTTAATTTGCAATTTTGCTACAGCTCAATTCAAAATTTTTCATGTTTTCGACTTTTGAATTTTACGATTTTTCGATTCTCAATTTCAGTTTTGTAGTTTTTATATTTTTCAATTTTCCGTTTTCCCAAGTTTTCGATTTAGAATTTTGGTTTGATTTTTCAACTTGTGAATTTTTCCAATTTCTCGTCTTCAATTTTTCAAAATTGAAATATCGAAAAATTGCAAAATTGTAAAATTATAAATAAGATTTGAACCATTTGAAAATCGAAAAAATTAAAAACCGTACTAATAAATTGTAAAATCAAAATAATTCAGAATTATGAAACAGAAAAGTTGGAAAACTGAAAAAATGAAAAATCGAACGAAAATTCAAAAATCAAATGCTGAAAAATCGAAAAATTGCGCAATTGTAAAATTGAAAAGTCGAAAAATATCGGATAACTGCAAAACCGAAAAATTGAAAGGTTCTAGATCGAGAAATTGAAAAATTAGAAAACCAAAATCGGATAATTGTAAATTTAAAAAATTCTGGAACTGAATATTTAAAAAGTCGAAAATTGAATCGATAAATCAGATCGATAATTAAACAATAAAAAATTGAGAAATTGTAAAACTGAAAATTCGAAGAATGCAAAATTGAATAATTGAGAATTTAAAATTTAAAAAAATCGAGAATGTAAAGTCAAATTAAAAAATCGGAAAATTGAAAAACGAACAATTAAAATGTGTAGATTGACTAATTGAAACATTTTTCGTTTTCCAATTTTCCGGTGTTTCAATTTTCAGTTATTGTCATTTTTTCATCGATTTTTTTCTGTTTTTTTACCTTTTTTCAGTTCTGCTATTTTTTCAGCCTGTGAATTTTTCAATTTTTCGATTTTTCGACTTGTCAGTTTATGGATTTTTAATTTTATCGATTTTTTTTCTTCAGTTTTTCGTTTCTTCAATTTTTGGATTTGATTTTTCCGTTTTTTCAGTTTTTGGTGCAGTTTTTCGTTTCTTCAACTTCTCTATTTTTTTGTTTCGCGTTTTTTCAATTTTCCCCTTCTTCAATTTTGTGATTGGATTTTTTTTCTTTTTTTCAATTTTTACGGAACATTTTAGTTTGATTTTTTATTGTTCTATTTTTCTATTGTTCAATATTTCAGTTTTTCGTCTAGTTTTATGATTTTTCAATATTTCGGCTTTTCAACTTTTAAACTCTTTTTATTCTTCAATTTTTCGGATTTTCTGTTTATGGATTTTTAATTCTTCGATTTTTGTTTTTTTCTTGTTCGATTTTCATTTCAATTTAAAATTTTTTGTCTTCCGATTTTTTCGATGTTTCGCTTTTGTTTTCTACGTTTTGTCCGTTTTCACTTTGGAATTTTTCAATTTTTTACTTTTTCAATTGTTTGATTTTTTTAGTTTTTCGATCTTAAATTTTAGATTTTTAATTCTTCAGTTTCTCGACCTTCAATTTTCTCGATATTTAATTTGCAATTTTGCTGCAGCTCAATTCAAAATTTTTCATGTTTCGACTTTTGAATTTTACGATTTTTCGATTCTTCAATTTCACAGTTTTGTAGTTTTTGTATTTTTCAATTTTTCGTTTTCCCAAGTTTTCGATTTAGAATTTTGGTTTGATTTTTCAACTTGTGAATTTTTCCAATTTCTCGTCTTCAATTTTTCAAAATTGAAATATCGAAAAATTGCAAAATTGTAAAATTATAAATAAGATTTGAACCATTTGAAAATCGAAAAAATTAAAAACCGTACTAATAAATTGTAAAATCAAAATAATTCAGAATTATGAAACAGAAAAGTTGAAAAACTGAAAAAATGAAAAATCGAACGAAAATTCAAAAATCAAATGCTGAAAAATCGAAAAATTGCGCAATTGTAAAATTGAAAAGTCGCAAAATATCGGATAACTGCAAAACCGAAAAATTGAAAGGTTCTAGATCGAGAAATTGAAAAATTAGAAAACCAAAATCGGATAATTGTAAATTTAAAAAATTCTGGAACTGAATATTTAAAAAGTCGAAAATTGAATCGATAAATCAGATCGATAATTAAACAATAAAAAATTGAGAAATTGTAAAACTGAAAATTCGAAGAATGCAAAATTGAATAATTGAGAATTTAAAATTTAAAAAAATCGAGA